TATCCTATCACAAACTACTACACTGTAACATTTACTTACTGTCTCATTACATTGTTAGTAAAGTTCTGTATCCTATCACAAACTACTACACTGTAACATTTACTTACTGTCTCATTACATTGTTAGTAAAGTTCTGTATCCTATCACAAACTACTACACTGTAACATTTACTTACTGTCTCATTACATTATCAGTAAAGTTCTGTATCCTATCACAAACTACTACACTGTAGCATTTACTTACTGTCTTATTACATTATCAGTAAAGTTCTGTATCCTATCACAAATTACTACACTGTAACATTTGTTTACTGTGTTATTACATTATCAGTAAAGTTCTGTATCCTATCACAAATTACTACACTGTAACATTTGCTTACTGTCTCATTACATTATCAGTAAAGTTCTGTATCCTATCACAAACTAGTATACAGTAACATTTGTTTACTGTGTTATTACATTGTCAGTAAAGTTCTGTATCCTATCACAAATTACTACACTGTAACATTTGTTTACTGTGTTATTACGTTGTAACTAATGTTCTGTATCGTATCACAAACTACTATACTGTAAAACTTACTTACTGTCTTATTACATTGCGGTTATAGTGATGTAACATAGCAGAAATTGTTATGCAACACCAACATTGGTATTGAGACGACTTAAGAGCAGTAGACATATTTTAACATACATTAGTATAAAGTTCTTTAGATGTGCACATTGGTATTGATACAACTAAAGAACAGTAGACATACGTTTATATATTAGTAACAAGCTTAAAAAGTCATTCTGCACAAGATGATTCAGAAATTCATGTTCAAGTAAAGAGCTTAACAATGTTAATGACTAGTTAACTCCTACGATTGGAGGTAGGAATTAGTTGATAAATAAGTTTACGGGTCGTGTTAGATTACTTATTAAACTGAAATAAGGTACATTGAAAAGTCTTCTTGAATTAGGTAGGAATTAGTTGATAAATAAGTTTACGGGTCGTGTTAGATTACTTATTAAACTGAAATAAGTTAGATAGAAAATTCTTCGTGAGAATTCAAGAAGACTTTTCAATGTACCTTATTTCAGTTTAATAAGTAATCTAACACGACCCGTAAACTTATTTATCAACTAATTCCTACCTAATTCAAGAAGACTTTTCAATGTAACTTATTTCAGTTTAATAAAAAACATACTATAGAACCCGTCAAGTTATTTATTTACCAAATATTATTATTTCCTAATTCGATAAGACAATTCAAACAACTTATATGAGTTCAATAAAAATAATGATCTAATACAATCATGTATAAAGAAATAAAAAATATTTAGAAATTTCACTTATTTACTTCACACCGCAGGTATGCTCTTTTTTTTATTATCTATACATCTACAATGATAGATTTTTATACTTACATTCCACATAGAGCATTAACCGCTTACTGACAGAGGGAGGTACACCATTAACAGCAATACAAAGATAGGCCCCAGCATGTTGCCTAGTGATATTGACCAACGTTAAGTGCTCACCCTCGTAGGTATTCACTGAAACAAAGAAAACTTGTCACTACACACCATAAACCAATTATTAACTGCAATTCAAAAGGAAAAGAAAAACGTGTTTTTACACGTCAAATACCCTTGTTCAGACAAATGCTTCCAGGAGACTGTGTAATATGTTAATAAGAGAATCTATAACAGAGATATTTAGAATTTTCTTTTCAGAAAGAAACAAAAATGAATGAAAGTGTGTTGGATATTGCTTCACTGTCTTATTATCCTAATGTATATGCGGCTTGTATCCACAAATATCATCGAAAACTCGACCATTAATTGTTGACAAATTAATCTGAGAATAGCTGCTACGCCATCTTTCGGAACATAGTTGATTTAATATAGAAAGTTAGCACATAGTTTTTGTACTGTTTCGCTTTCAGGTCCATCGTGCTGTTAGATGGTAATAGCTATGATCTGATAATGATGAACTTTGTTAAGCCTAAATAAGAAGGGGGGGGGACAGAAATAAAACTTATCGTTCATGAAATTCACGTTTACTTTCACGCGCCTTGAAATCTTCGAACACAGATGCACACATGACGTGAGTATGATTGGACAGTTTTGTACATGATAATTAAAACTGTTCGAAATCAAAACAATGCACAATGTTTCTGATGGCCAACCAAGTACAAAAATTAATCTTCAAAAATTCACAATATCACTCAAGTCGACAGGATATCTAAATTAAGATACAAATCTGAATCGTAACTAAACAATTTCTTCACAGAAATAATCTCACACAACGCCTCGTCTTTTCTCGATACTGAGTATGAAAGTCAAATTAATAATATTAGAATGCAACAGCATTGATTCGCCTAAGAATGTTTGGGTTATTAACATATATTTAATATGCCGGAGAAGCCAACATAAGAAATTAAACAAACAAACTGTATATGAAATCCAGAAGGGTCAGACGTTTCGGTGTCAGCAACACCAAATTCCTTTGGGCTAAAAGTAGAAATAAGTTCGGCTTCGGCTACTGCTAAATTTAACTTTTTACCAATATACCTTAAGGCAACTGTTGTATAAATCGTCAGCTGATACTGACACCTTAGGCCCCAGTGCTTATTTTTTCACTTTGTGTTATAGACATGTTAAATGAAATAATTTACTTTATATTTTATAAATTTATTTTACTGGTTCAGAAAAATGCTTTTTGGGCATCAAAAATTTACCAATTTAGCTAAACTCACTGTCACTTTATCATAATCATAATACTTTTAAGTTTGAAAATAGAAAAAAAAATGAAAAGTTTATGGCTTACTTGTTTTTGTTTGTTTGTAATTAAGCTCAAAGATACACAATGGGCTATCTGTG